AAAAAAAAAACATTCTCTTATCATTATTTCTGAGTCATTCATTTTATCTTACCAATTGAATCTAATTCATCAAAAAAGAGTACACATGGTGCTGCTTGACGAGCTTTATCAAATACATCACGTACATTTGCTTCAGATTCACCAAACCACATAGTTAATAATTCAGGACCTTTTACTGAAATAAAATTTGCTTGACATTCATTAGCAATAGCTTTTGCTAATAATGTTTTACCTAAAAATTCAATATTAATAGCAAAATAGGAAAAAAAAAGAAAAAAAAATATATATATATATTCACATACCACAACCTGGTGGTCCATAAAAGAGTACACCACGTGATGGTGTCATACCAAATTTAAGAAATTTTTCTGGATGTTCAACAGGATATTGAACAAGTTCTTGTAATTCACGTTTAACATTTTCTAAACCACCAATATCTTCCCATGTTGTTGTTGGTACTTCAACAACTGTTTCACGTAAAGCTGATGGATTTGATTGATTAAGTGCAAAACGAAAATTATCTTGTGTAACAGCTAATGAATCAAGTACTTCAGCATCAATTGTATCTTCTTCTAAATCAATGACATCCATTTTTTCACGTATTTGTTGTAAAGCAGCTTCAGAACATAATGATGCTAAATCAGCACCAACATAACCATGTGTTTCATTACCAATTTGTACAAGATCAACATCTTCACCTAATTTCATATTTTTTGTATGTATACGAAGAATTTCTAAACGACCAACAGCATCTGGTATACTAATATCAACTTCACGATCAAAACGACCAAAACGACGTAATGCTGGATCAATTGAATTTGGTCGATTTGTTGCTGCCATAACAATAACATGTGAACGTTGTTTAAGACCATCCATTAATGTTAATAATTGAGAAACAATACGACGTTCAACTTCACCATGAGTTTTTTCACGTTTTGGTGCAATAGCATCAAGTTCATCAATAAATATAATAGCTGGAGAATTCTGAATAAAAAAAAAAAAAAATTAATTCCTTTCTATCGTTAAGTATAATTCATATTTCAGTTTCAACAGCAAAAAAAAGTCTTATGGTTTTTGGATCTGAAGAATATGCTTCCTTAAGAACTTAGAAGATCTACTGTCTCGTGTTTTCATGGTGAAATCTAAGACATTCAAGATCGATCAGTTCTGATATACTTTGAAAATTTATCTTAGATAACTTCTGTTCACTATTTTCAATATGAGTTTCGTTCGGGATGATGATGTCGAGTATAAGATTGAAATTAGCCTATCCTAAAACTCTTTAGTAAATGACAAGACGATTTAAACATACAACTATTTTCAACCATCAATAAACTAATAATGCATTTTGTAGGACTTTAAACAAATAGGAATGCAGAAAAAAAAACCTTTTTATAGAAATTTTTACCTTTTCCGCTTCTTCGAATGCTTTACGTAAATTTGATTCAGATTCACCAGCTAATTTCGACATAATTTCCGGTCCATTAATTAAAAAGAAGAATGCACCGGTTTCATTAGCTACAGCACGTGCTATTAAAGTTTTACCTAAATTATATAGATTTGTTGAGATTAAAACTTTTTCTTTTTTTTTTGTTTTTTGATCATACCCGTGCCCGGTGGTCCATACAAAAGAATACCTCTTGGTGGTTTAACACCAATTGTTTTAAATAATTGTGGATGTCTTAATGGTAATTCAACCATTTCTTTAATTTGTGCTAGTTGTTTTCTAACACCACCAATATCATCATAACCAATTTCATTTAAAGATGCTTCTTCTTCTTCACGTTTTATTGGATCACCTTCACAATGTATAACTGTATCAGGTGCAACAATACAATATGGACTTGGTTCAGTTTCAATAACTTTAAATTCAACAGCACGCATTGCTGCACGTACAATAAAAACATCACCTTTACGTACAGGTCTATATGCTTCAACAAAATATGGTTTTAAATAAACTTCAAATAAATTTCCTGTTATCCCTTCAACTGTATCATCAATAGGTAAAACATGTATACGTTTACCATATTTAACATCTTGACAACCTTGTATTGATACAATATCACCTGAACGTACACGTAAATTATTTCGTACAACACGATTCATTCTTATACGATCATTTTGACATGTATCATCAGCAAGTACAATACATATTGTTTCACGACGTTTTTTACCTTTAAGTAAAACTGTATCACCACGAAATAATTGTAATTCATCCATTTTTTGTTGTGATAATGCAACAACACTATTATCATCATTAATAGCATCATCAATAATTAAACGATTTGGACGTTCTTTACGATTTAATATAGCTGTTGAATATTTATCTTCTTTATTTGGATCGACTGGTTTAGCCATTTGTTGTTTAAATTGTTTGACAAATTCAAAAATAATCAATATATATATATGATTTTAAATCTACAAATATAGTTTCATATAGAGACAAAATGAAAAGAAAAACACACGGTAGAATATCTCGTATAAACAAAGAAACAAATATTATCCTAAATATTTTTTTTTATAAAATAACATTTTCATGACTATTTGCTGGTGTCAATGAAATAGTTGATGATTGAGAATGTGGTTTTGATAATGATGGATTCATTGGACGAACAGGAGATCGTGATGGTGTTATTGAACCAGGAGTTTGATGATGTGATGATGGAGATGCTTGACCAGGTAATAATTTTGGTACACGAGAATTTGAACCAGATGATGGAGAAAATTGACGATTCTATCATATAACAAAAAAAAAAAAACATTATATTTCGTTTGTATACAAACACTTAAGGAATAAGAATACATCTACTTTTTGGTATAAAATGCTACCTAATGGCAGATTCAATAGGTTAAATTTCTAAATATTCAAGGTGATATCGGAATGGCAAAAGTTAAAACTGTCTCCGATTACAAAAAAAAGCAGACGCTATAAACACTTTCTCATATAATTAGAAGAAAATTTCAGCTCGATTGGATGTACTCTACTCGGGAAACAACGCAGTTCTCAACTTTTTTTTTTATTGAAAGATTCATATTTAATTTTTAAGCTGTGTTCGTAGGAGATAGAAGAAATCACAAGATGCATATAAAACAAAATCAAAGATCTAAACATTTTTGGTTTGGTAAAAGAATATAGACAATACATGCTTTTTATCTCATACGATTTGCTAGTATATTCTATTGCTAGAAAATATTCTAGAATATATCAACGAGAAGAACCAATAATATTCTATCTTAGCTACTAGAACAAAGAGAGAGATATTTTTAGTTTGTACTCAATGATCCCTACATGAATCATACTTTAAAACAAAACAAAAAAAGAAAATTTGGTTTCTATATAACGTTGATAGAATAAAAATCATTTTTTCTTTTTAAATGCAAAAAATAGCTTTTTATTTAATTAACGATGATTGTTTTGTCATAAAACTTCTTATTCATTTTGAATTAATTATATGTTAATGAACTTTGTTGACTTCATAGAATCAAAATGATCTTCCTTTTGAGATATATATAGTTCTCTCCATAAATTATCGATTGAGGCTTATTTGTAAGTAATTATTTTCAATACTAAATCTTGTCGTTATATTTATAACATATTCATTTGATGGTATCTTTAATACGATCAACATGCGGAAAGATCACATGTAATAATTGTATTTTGTTCTGCTGATTTTCGAGTTAAGGTACTTAAAATAAGGAGATGTGTTCGGGAAAATTCTGGCTCTTCATCGGGGTTACTTAAGACCTTCGTCTAACTTTCTCCGATTGAATGGAAATTTTAACAGCAGCTACTTGAAAGTACTTTCTATAGGTGAAATTGGTCATTTGTGTTTTTAACCTTCCTATCCGGATTTATATAATCCTAACACCAACACCCCGATTTTGAGTCTGCCCTTTATGTATTTTTCTCGTAAATAAAAAATCCAAATTTTTGAAAACGTTCAAAAACCATTTCTAAAATATAGTTTAAGATATCTCTAAAAAAAAAGTTTCAGTTCAATCGGACAAAGTTAGACAAGGATCGTAAGCGAGTTCGAAATAGGCCTATAAAAAACGTTGTTTAAAACTTTTTTCTTCGAATACATATCTCCTTATTTTAGGTGTTCTATTTGTAGTAGCCTGTCGGTTCCGAAATTTTCCGACCCTGATCCAGTTCAATTGTACTTAAATAATCTCAGTGGAATTTTCTAATTGGAAAAAGGAAAGTGCCTTGAAGATACGAGATACTTTTTTTCGGTTTTCTTGTATTTGGTAACTAGCGCACCCTACATATTCCGCAGATGACTAGAAGACGTTGGGTCCGAGATTAACCCGAAAACCTCCATCACTAATACATAACTAATTGAAGAGCTTCAAGTAGTTCGGAAGCTCCAAGTTTTATGAACCTAACGGAGGTGGAGTGGATAATTATAAATAGCGTATAGCTTTATCTTCTCGGTAACTGATTCGATCACTATAATAATGTCAAATATACTTCGGATTTGGATTATGATTAATATCTGTTGATACTGTTTGATTGACTTATTCATCTATTGTACTATTATCTCTTCCTATTGCTAATAGTAAATAATAATTTTTTGTTAACATTCAACAATATTTCTTGCAAATTGGGGTTTTACTTTCATAGATTTTTGTTTTAATTTTATCTTTCATATACATTTCTATATATTTACTCACTTGTGTAGATTGTGATGTTGATGATCTTGTTTGTTGACGAAGTGGAATGACCTGTGCATGTAGACGATGTCCATAATAACTACCAAATTCATGTTTAAAATGTTCAAGATCATCTGGTGATGGTCGTGATGCACGATATGCAGCTGGAATAAATTTCTATTAAATATGATATTTAAAAGAAAACAAAATTATTAATTAAGTTTTCTTACAGATATAACACCATTAATACGATCAATTGTTATTTTATCAATAGAAGATAATGATGGATTTTCAAGTGATTTTATAATTCGCTCACCAAGTGTACGTATTATAGGAAATACTAATTCTTCAATTGTCTAGAAAAATCTTTTTTCGTTTAGTTTTCTTCTTTTTTTTTTTTTTTTTTGTAGAAAACAATTATATATTTACTTCTTGACCCATTTCACATAAACCAACAAGTGCTCCATAATGTGTAACAAGTGGTAAACGTTCACTATGAAATGTACGTAAAAAAATCCGCACTATACGATTACGTAAACCATGAATATTAGCTGAAAACATTCTAATAAAAAAATGTTAAAACATAATGTTTCTATATTATGTGTTTTGATTAGAGATTTTTTACTTGACCATTTGTGCACAACGTGATGCAGCATAATCACGTAATGCCCAATGATTATCTGTATCGGGTCGAGCACATAATTGTTTTGCTAATATACATGACATTATAGCTGGAAATAATTGATGAAGCTACAAAAAAAAAAATATATATATTTTTTTACTATTCAAAAAAACACAAGTTTATAATTTTCTTTTACATATTTTTCACAATATAAAGATTTATTGTCAAGTAATGCACTTGTCATACGCATTAAATAGATTAATATAGCTAGATTAAATTGCATTAAATTTATTTTAACACCTTCAGAAATAAATAAAACAATCCGAGGTAAAATTTGATGAAGACCAGTTTCTGTTGTTAGACTAGCAATAGCTTCCTAAAACATTAAATACAATAAAAATAAAATAATTGTATACCAAAACATAACAACATACTTGACGTTTTTGTTCTTCAGAACCAACACATGCTTCAGTTATTTCTTTATAGTATATTTGTTGTTCCTGAAAAATAAAATAAAATGTACACAAGATCTTGAAGTATAATGATAGAGCATGTTTTTTTTTGAAATATTCATTTTCCTTTAAAACAATAAACCATTTTTTCATATATCTTACCAAAGAAAGTTCATGTGGATTTGAAGTTTTAATTTTTGATGCATCAAGATTATATCGTTTTTTTGTTAATGATTTCATCTAGAAATCAAAAACTATAATGAAAACGCTTAACTTTTATAAACATCTTACAGGATCTAATGAATCAGCAGTTAGATCAGCTTTTGAAATAATTTCTGGATTTTCATTAATTGTTGGTTGTTTACCTTCAATTGCAAGCCAATGAGCTACAAAAAAACAAAAATTATTATTTTTATATTTGTTTTTTGAAAAATTTAATTTACTTCGTATAGAAAAATCTAAAGGTACTTTTGGTAATGGTGCAGTAATAACTTGATCAAGTTGTAATTCATGATCATCAATACATTGAACTTCTCGATGACTTGAACCAACTGCTGTTGTTATTTTAAATGGTAAATTTCCATTTGATAAACGAAATCCAACGATTGGCTTTATTTAGAAAAATAAAACAAAATTATTTTTTTTTTTCTCTTCAATGTTTTATTTTACTTCTAAATATCGCATTTTCATTGCTGATTCAAAATCATCTATAATCATTTTCGTTCGACGACATTTTCTTGTAAATTTTAGTGCATCCTGAAAATTCAAAAAAAAAAAAGGAAACTTAGAAAATATTCTTTCGCTTTTTGTTTTTCTCAATTGACTTGTAATAAAAATCGAACAACACCAGTTGCTTCTAATGTTAAATATTTAATACATTCATCGGATAGATGTTGACATTGATTTGAATCAGCTATAAATTGAATAGATGCATAAGGAAATTGTAGAATAGCAGTTTTGGCTTGATCGGTTGTTGTCATCTAAAATTGAAAGAGTATTTGTTTTTGTTTTCCTTTTTGAAAGTTTTATTTCATAAAATCTTTTCGATTAAATTATTTAAATATTTCTATTCTTATTTCTATTACCTCTTTTAAATATTTGGAACATTGTCGAGTAACGACTATTTACATGTATGATAACAATAATGTAGAATGAAAATGAATTTACAGTCTGAGACTATATATATGATTCACTGAAAAATGCTATATTCAACCTATCAGATACTGGCAGAGCATTAGAAAGAAAGAAAATATAAATAACAAAAGAAAAATGAATAGAACTATATAGTCGAGAATATTCTTCACATTCATTTATTTCGAACTTTCTGATTCTTTATAGTTAAGAAAATTTAGACTAGACCGTTATGATGCAAGAATTGAATAACATATATAATCAGTTTATAGCAATGAAGTAAAAGTTTTATAGAGGTGAACAGACACAAACAATGATTATTTGTTCTCAATCATTGATAGTAAAAGAAAATTGTATTGGCATTATTGTTGATTCTATGACAATAAATGAGAAATAGTCAATGAAGGTTGGTTTATTCATTCAAATAATAATAAGTTTTTTATTGATGAATATAGATGACGTTAGTGTATAATGATTTTATCTATTGTAACCAATGTTTGATAAGTTTCCAAGACAATCATTTCGATGATGTATTAAACGAGACGTATTATTGCATTAATTTCTACTGCATTTTGTCGAAATCTATGAGCCTGTGTTTACGCTAGCAAAGCGTTATGATTTTTTTACTATTTTATTATTTTTCAAGCGGACGAAAAATGGTGACATACTAACATCGGGCTTCTCCATTTTATATTGTTTTACGGAGACTTTTTCTTGAAGCTAAGTTTATCAATTACACTTACAATATTTATTTAAACAATAAAAGTAGAGTTCTTGTGGGTCTGGAAGTTCTAAAATGAAGTGTTGATCAGATGAGTTATATCATGCGCTCGAACAAGAAATAATTTTCATTTTTGAGTAAATGATAAGCACAGAGGTTCATAGGACCCAGGCGAGCAAAAAATAAGGGGTGACGCCCGACATGACTAGTCTAAATTGTCCGTAGTACCTGTCTGGACTAGTCTAAAATGTCTGCACTGCCGTTTCGACTAGTCTGAAATGATTTGCAGCTAGTCAGGACTAGTCGTCTTCACGAACAACGTCTTGCATCTAAAATAGACTAGTCCAAAACATGCTCTAATCTTGTCATGGCTAGTCCGTTTTGTATGTGCATATTGTCCAGACACGTCAACTTGAAGGCAAAAGCTAGAAGAAACGGAGACGATAGGTGGATTCGAGCATTCAAGCCGACAATATTGGATACCTGACTAGTCTAAACTGTTTTCAATAGGTAACGCGGACTAGTATGAAGAGTCATTTATATTGGTCATGACTAGTCGTTTTCGAGAAAGTAATGCCAATTCTGGTCCAGGGTAGTCTATCCTTTCAAACAGTCTTTATTGCTTGGACTTAATCATTCGGACAATTCGTTTAGACTAGTTTGTATTGGGACTAGAACGATGTACCTAACGAGAGTTGGCTATTTATGTCCTTTTGAATTTTTAAATTGTAATAACAATCAAGAATAATTTTATTCGAAAAATTAATTTTAATGCATTGATGTGAGGATATTATTTTATTTCGATATAAAACTAATGATTTTAATTTAAAAATGAATTTAAACGATAGAATCATAGTTCATTTTCAAATTTAAATAGGAAATATTTTAAATTAAAATAAACATAAACCATGAGATGAAAAGCAAGATCTTTTTTTGAAATGTATATTATTATTTTGATTTTGATTTAAATTTTAATTGTTTTTTCCAATAGAAAATAACTTTTTCCAAATGTCGATAATCAAAAAAAAATTCTGTTGAAGGAAATTAAAAAAATTCTGAATTAATTTTGCGTAGCTTTATTTAACTAATTTTCGATTTTATTACAAGTAGTTTCTGTAAATATTAAAACTTGAGAAAACGCCGAGTCAAACTGTAGTAATTAGTGTCTTCCGATGTGTATTGACATGTAAAAGTTGATCACTAGATCATATGGCTCAATCGGGTAGACGACGAGTAAGTAACACAAGGTATGTATGTACGAATCTAACTTTTTGCACATATTTCTATCATTTAGACTATTCCGAACGATCGCTACATAAGACTGAAACCTAGTGGATGTCGCGTCACAGGCGCTCTGCTTTTTTTAATTCAAAATCTGTTTGCAGACGGGACACCCAGACGGGACTAAAGATTTCAAACCATTTTGGACTAGTCATGTAGTAGGACTTTTCGAGAAAAAGACTAGACAAGACGCATAGTCACGACTAGAAAAATGACTAGCCTTTTTACCCGTCCTTTGCTCGCCTGGGGAGTCATATCCCGACAATGGTAGCGAGAAAATTTTTTTTTTGAAAGATATTGTAAAGTTGTATGAATTTGTAGAATGAGTTCTGGTCGAATGTCATGGTAAGAGGGATTTGCGAAGCATTCTTTTTTTGAATATTAGTGCGGGAGTAGATTGTCAGTCACGATGGATATATATGTCCAATTTATAATACATGAAAATATCCGATGAAACTAGTTTTGATCAGAAAAAAAACTAAGTTTTATTCGATTGTTTGCTTGTAAAACTTTTAAGTATAATAATTACTAAAAGTAAGAAATGATTCAAAACAATCTTTCAATGGATATCCATAATCTTTTGATATTGTAATCATTTTTCTGTATGCTAATACAAAAAAAAAAGAATTATGATTGCTATTAATATCAATATTGTTAGTTTTGGTATTATTGTTTCTAAAAATGTAGGTACGATCGAAAGAAAGTTTAAATCAAAAACAGGAACTCTCAGACAGAGATATCAATCCCGGTTGCGACTGCTTTTTTCAAAGACATTGCAAAAATATATCAATTGGCTCGACAGTTCCGTGTCTCCAAATGCAACACTCTGAGATTCCATGGAATCGTATGGCTTAGTAACAGCAGTTCTAGTTCAGTATAGCTACAGCAATGAAATTCTTACAATGAAGCTAATCAATACACTTTCGAATTTGCTCTATCCTTACAGATGTCACTAGTATCCAAGTTCATTTCAATGGACAAAAACTCAAATATTAGCTCTTTATACTTCATATGAGCAAAAACTTGACGATACACTTTTATTTAAATAATAAATTTACATTATTTGGATATTGGACAAATTGACTTGATTGGTTTCTAGATAACATAAAGAAGAGATGATGAATCATTATGTTTAGTATTCATTTTTGTTATTTCTATTTCAGTAAGAATTCATTGATTTTAGATCGATAATAAAATTATGAGTGAATCAAATGATGATTTCTATTTACGATATTATGTAGGTCATAAAGGTAAATTTGGACATGAATTTCTTGAATTTGAATTTCGTCCTGATGGAAAATTACGTTATGCAAATAATTCAAATTATAAAAAAGATACATTAATTAGAAAAGAAGTTTATGTTAATCGAGCTGTTATTGAAGAACTTAAAAGAATTGTTAATGAATCTGATATTATGAAAGAAGATGATGCTGTTTGGTATGTATAAAAACAAAAAACAAATTTTTTTGGAAAAGTTTTCTAATCTATTAAGATAAAGTATCAAGTTAATAATAGAATTTATGACTCGAAATAAAATTAATATAAACATGAATAGCTTATATTGATGGTATAATTTTTATAATTCAGAAAAGTTGTCCTTCGTTTTTTTGTCTGTGTTTAGTTTTGTTGAAAAGTTTCTTCTATAAATATGGTTTTTTTTTTGTTCAGGCCACCACAAGATCGTACTGGTCGTCAAGAACTTGAAATCGTACTTGGTGATGAACATATTTCATTTACAACAGCAAAAATTGGTTCATTAATTGATATAAATAATAGTCGTGATCCCGATGGTTTACGTTGTTTTTATTATTTGGTTCAAGATTTAAAATGTTTTGTTTTTTCACTTATTGGTTTACACTTTAAGATTCAACCAATTTAAATAAGAAATATGAATAACTAAAACCAATTAAAAATGTTGTGTTTTTTTTGTTTGTTGTCCATCTGATATGTTATTAAACACTTATCGATTTCTTTTTGTTTTGTCTGTGTATTCAAACTCATTGTTATATGTATCTATACACCTATGAACAAGGTTATTGTTCTAGTTGAATTCTTCTACTCATTAAAATAAATTCCATTGGATTACAAAAAAA